GGGGGGAATTGTTCAAAGAATTTACTTATGTTTCCGTGGAGACAAATGTTAACAATATATAAATGATCTAAGGAACTTATTAATTCCCCTCAAAATAAAATAAAATAAAATAAAAAAGCGGGAACTTGTTAATGAAATATAAATAAAAATAAATTATTAGGAAAGTAAATATTCATTGTATAAAAAATATATAATACTTACTATTTTAAATAATTGAAAGTGAGTTTATTTAATATTCCTTGTTAGCAAAGCCTTTTTCACGAAAATTGTTTCATACCATCCAAGCTCGTGCTTTATTTTTTCTGTAAAATATATACTTGAGACATGTTGACGTGGACAAGTAATCAGATTAAAATTCAGTTATCCTACAGAGGATCGATATGTGCAGATTAAAGATTAAACACTGAACTGCTCTTGATCCAAATTAAATAAGCAAACTGAAAAAAGAACACGGATCTACATGGTGCGCCTTCACCAGTGGAAAACAAGCAAATTTTGTAGAATAACTAGTTATATGTTTAAATGAAAATATATAGTTTCCAAATCCAATGTTGTCGTGGACCCAAGTGGTTCTTCCTCAAATCCAAACATTGTGGTGACACAGGCAATGAATCCAAAATAACGTAGGGGTCCCCCAAATTTGAGCAAAAGTTTGATATCTCTAACCAAATATACTGGCAAGTAATTAATTAACCAGTACTGCAGATACAGTACAAACAATTTGTTTCCTATATGCTCTTAACCAAATAGGCACTGGGTAGTGTGAATATTGCTCATTGCAAAGCAAATACGTACAATGGGATTTTTTAACCAAATAGGCAATAACAATGAAGTGATGATGAATGTTAATCCGTTAACTTTTTAATCCTTCATTTTAAGTGTGTTAAAAAGTGATGCAAATTTGAAAAAGAAAAAGAAATTTTTAGAAATTGTTATATATAGCTTGAAGTAACTAGAAAACACTTCAATGATGTAGGTCAACATGCAAACTTGAAAAAATCTTAAAAAACTATAACCTTTCCACCATCATTTGAGACGATGCACCGAGCCTATAAATAGGCTACCCATGAGAAAGTGTAGATAACACATCGCCACCAAAATGAATTAACCCTTTTATCAAATCAACTATCAACTCTTCTATATTATATTTTCAGATCAAATTTCTCCTCCTCAACTATTCAACTACTACCAATTTAATATCTCTATCTTTTTAATTAAATTATCACATTTTTAAATTCTATCAATAATACTAAACTTACGTTCGGTCATCTATTAGGTATAGATAATTTTTTCAATTACTTCTTAAAAAACTCAACTATATTTTATACTACTAAAATATATCTTTAACTTATGACTATTTCAAATCAATCATCATCTATTTCAATCCCTATTTTCACCGAAAAAAACTACGATGTTTAGAACGTTAAAATGAAGACATTTTTTTTTACTCTCGAGATTCATGGGACATTATAGAAGATGAGTTCACTATTTCAGAATGCACCTTAACTCTTATTGTAGTTTAGTGAAAGGAGTTGAAGAAAAATAAGAAGAAGAATTTGAGGACATTATTTACTCTTTAACAAGTAGTATCTGACATAATTTTTTCAAGAATAATAGATGCCACAATTGTAAAGGAAGTTTGGAACAACACAATATAAGAGGAGTTTCAAAGAAGTGACGAGGTACGCAAATTTAAACTTCAATATCAGAGACTTGAGTTTGAATTAATAAAAATGAATGAATTTAAGACCATAAAAGACTATTATTCTAAAATAAATATCGAAAAGGCGTGAAGAAGATTCCATCAAAAATGTCTTTCAATCAAAAATTAAAATTACGGTCTTAGAATAAAGAATATAAAGTAAATAAAAATAATGGAGAAACTTCCAAAAATAAAGAAAATTCTAGAAGTTTCTATTAGACCAATCAAGGAAAATATCTTCCATGTGACATCTATAAAAAGACAAGTCACTTAAAAAAAGATTGTTGGCATCCTGAAAAACCTCAATGTCGATAACACTACAATAAATTTGGACATGTGGAGAAAAGTTGTTGCCACAAAAACCAACAACAAGCAAATTTTGCCTAAGAGCAAAACAATGAGCAACATCTTTTATATGTTACTTGATATTCCAACAATGAATTAAAAGGAAGATGGTACTTGGATAGTAGATGTAGTAATCACATGGCTAATGATTCGATCATCTTCAAAGAAATTGATAAATCTATTAAAGTTCAAATACGATTGGAGAATGGTGTCATGGTAGAGTCAAAAGACAAAGGTACTATCATGGTAGAGACTAAAAAAGGTACGAGACTTACTAATAACATCTTACATGTTCCAAATCTTAAAGAAAATATATCAAGCATTGGTCAAATGATGGAGAAAGGCTATGTTCTTCACTTTGAAAGAGATATATGTGATATCTATGATAACAAAAGATGAAAGATAGCTCAAGCTAAAATGGAGAAAGGAAACAGTAGTTTTCCAATAAATTTCAAATATGCTACTAACATTGTCATGAAAGCACAAGTCAGTGATCTATGACTATGGCATCGAAGCTTTGCCCACTTCAACACTCAAGCCTTGAAATTGCTATATCAAAAGAATGTGATGAGAGATCTTTCAACTTTAAAAGAAAATAATGAAGCATGGGAAGAATGTCTTCTAAGAAAGCAACATAGACTACTATTTTCTATTGGAAAAGCCTAGGGAGCAAACAACTTGCTGGAGTTGATCCACACTGACATCTGCGGACCAATGAGGACATCTTCACTTTACAACAATAGGTACTACTTCATCCTTTTCATTTATGACTTTTATAGAACGATGTAGGTCTACTTCCTTAAAGAAAAATTAGAAATTTTTGGAATCTTCAAAAAGTTTAAAGCTCTTGTGGAAAAGCAAAACGAAAAACATATAAAAGTACTAAGAAGTGATCGAGGCAAAGAATACAACTCACACGAGTTCAAAAACATTTGTGAAGATAAAGGCATTAAGCGACAACTTATAGTCACATACTCTCCATAACAAAATGTTGTCATAGAGAGAAAGAACTACACTATCATGGAGATGGTAAGATCAATGCTAAAGTAGAAAGGTCTATCAAACACTTTTTGGGTTAAAGTAGTCAACACCATAATTTATATACTAAATAGATGTTCAACCAAGGCAGTCCAAGACAAAACTCCTATTGAAGCATGGAGTGGAAGAAAGCCACCAACCAAACATTTATGGTTATTTGGATCTATCTGCTACATACATGTTCCTGATCAAAAGAGGCACAAACTTGAAGACAAGATTATATGAGAAATATTCTTGGGATATAGCACATAGTCAAAAGGCTATTGAGTTTACAACATACAAACAAAGAAGCTTGTCATCAATCAAGATATTGAGGTTGGTGAAAATGCTTCTCTAAATTTGGAAGAAGAAAAAGTTAAAAGCAACATTTTAATTTCAGTACAACAATCTCAAGAAGAATTTGCAGAAGAGGCAGAAGATTCAAGTATGCTTTCTCCATCTCCACAACAATAACAAGAAAAAAAAAAAAGATTCTTCACTAGAGTCTACTCCAAGACGAGTAAGATCTTTGGTAGACATATACGAAACTTCTAATATGGTCATGATTGAGCCTGATTGCTATGAAGAAGCATCAAAACAAGAAGTATGGGTCAAGGTAATGAAAGAAGAGATTAAATTGGTTGAAAAGAATAACACTTGGGAGCTTGTAGACTGCCCACATGGAAAAGATATCATTGGAGTAAAATGGATATATTAATAATAAAGCTCAATCTTGACGGAGCTATACAAAAACATAAGGCGAGATTGGTTACAAAAGGCTACTCTCAACAACTTGGAATTAACTATAATGAGATATTTGCTCCAGTTGCTCGCCTAGATACAATTAGAGCTTTAATAGCTCTTGCAACACAAAAAGGATGGAACATCTACCAAGTGAATGCCAAATCATCCTTTCTAAATGGAGTGCTTGAGGAAGATATTTATGTTGAGCAACCACAAGGCTTCATCAACAAAGGCGATGAAATCAAAGTGCTAAGACTGAGAAAAGCCTTATATAGCCTAAAGCAAGCTTCTCAAGCATGGTATAGAAGAATTAATCAATACATCATCAATCAAAGATTCATGAGGAGCAAGAGTGAGCTAACACTATATATCAAGACATAATGTTAGTATGATCTCATTGTTTCCCTATATGTCAATGATCTTATCTACACGAAAAACAATATAGAAATGGCAAAAGAATTCAAAGAAAACACAATGAAGACATTTGAGATGACTAACCTTGACTTGATGAACTACTTCCTCGATATAAAAGTGAGACAACAAAAAGAAGGAATATTTATCTCTCAAGAGAAATATATTGAAGCTCTACTATATCAGTTCAAGATGTACGACTATAAACATGTTAGTACTCCATTGTTGATAAATGAGAAGTTGTAAAAAAAGATGGAGCCCGAGAAGCTGATGCATCATGCTATAGGAGTTTGATTGGAAGTCTTCTATATCCCACAACCACATGGTCAAACATCATGTATGCCACAAGTCTTCTATCAAGGTTTATGTAGAAACTAAGTTAGATTCACTATGGAACAAGAAAAAGAATTCCAAGATATTTACCAGGCACGAAGGAGTTTGGTATTTGGTATAAAACCATGACCAACTTAAGAATGATTGTTTTCACCAACAGTGGTTGAACAGGATCAATAGACAACATGAAGAGTACATCAGGATATGTTTTCTCATTAGGATTGAGATTTTTCTCTTAGACATCAAAGAAATGAGCAACTGTAGCATAACCTACAATAGAAGTAGAGTATGTAGCAATTGTTGAAATTATAAGTCAAGCAATATGGCTACGAAAAATTCCTGAAGAAATGGGTGAACAAGATGAACTGACTATTATCTTCTGCTACGACAAATCAACAATAACGATGACGAAAAACTCAGTTCATCACCAAAGAACAAAACATGTAGTCATTAAATACCACTTTATTAGAGAAGTAGATACAACAAAATAAATTCAACTTGAATATTATCCTACAGAAGATCAAATAGCACACATATTTATAAAGACACTATTTAGAGCTAAATTTGAAGAACTACAAACATAATAACAGAAATTTGCATCAAAAAGACCATTAAAAAGTGATGCAAATTTGAAAGAATTTTTTTTCTTCTAAAAATGGTTAAATATAGCTTGAAGTATCAAGAAAACACTCCAATGATGTAAACAAACATGCAGACTTAAAATCTTAAAAAGTTATAACCTTCCCACCTTCATTTGAAGCGGTGCACCGAGCCTATAAATAGGCTATCACATTTTTAAATTCTATCAAATTGAACCAGCAGGTCCGGCCAGGGTAGAGGTCGAAATAGTTTGCAGAAAGTACACCTAAAACACCATAAAATTAAGAATAAATCTATTTTATGAAATTTCAACGACGTGCCATGACCCGGATGCTAAAATAGCCCGCACTCTCGAATCTGTACCCACATGCTATTTATCCATATATATAAATAGCTCTCCGACACTAAAGTCCTTAATTAAGATATATTTATAATATTGCATATATTAATTAATAAGTTGCGGGAAAAAAGAAAGCAAAAAGTAGTGTATAATGGATCTAACCTTACGCTCACGAACAACCTTGGCGGCCTTGTCCATTTCTTCCTCAAGGAGCTTGAGATCTTCCATGCTCAGATCGTTCAGACAATCTCCCATCCTCTGCCTAAGCCACGATCGATTCACATAGAAAACATGAGCAGATCAACTAAGAAGCAAAGAGAAGGAGGCGAAATTAATATGTAGTATACCTAATCTCCCTGCGAAGATTCCTATTCAGGTCTTTGAGTTTCTTGAGGTTGTCTTGCATATTCTGGCGGAGGCGGAGGGAGAAAAGAAGAAATTAATAATATGTGTGAATAGGAGATATGAAAAGGAAGAAATTAAGGGAGAGAACCTCGTAATGAGAGTTCCAGAGATCTACGCCTAGAGTCATCTGGTATTGATCGAAGAAGTGCTTGGTTCTGGAAAAAGAAAAAGACGTGAGAGGAGAGGAGATAGGTAGGTAGGTAGATAGATAGGGTTAGTTTGGGAATTGAGGACGTACGAGGTGGAGGGGCTAATGTACTCGTGGAGCTTGCCAGTGCTGGAGAACATAATAATAGAAACCTTGGCGTCGCACAGAACCGTGAGCTCGTTGGCCTTCTTGAAAAGCCCATTCCGTCGTTTCGAGTAAGTCACCTGCCTGTTGGTGGTGTTCTCTATCCTCTTGATCTGGATCTTCCCACGAGCCATACCTGCTGCACCTTCGCTTCTTCTTTCTGCGCCAACCAGGGAATAGGGAATAGGGAATAGGGAATAGGGAATAGGGAATAGGAAATTAATTAATGAGGGAAAGAG